TAGTAATGTCACCTTGGGAAATTCTCTTAACCTTTCTGAGCTTCACTTCTTTCCTAAAAAAGTGCCTGATTATCTAAAAGAATATTGAGTGGATAAAATGAGATAATGCATGTGAAGTGCTTGTAAATTGTAAGGTGCTATATAAGGTATTACTCTTGTTTTGAAATAATATAGTGTGAAAAAATGTGATATTTTAAGCAGGACTTTATAGCACATCATCAACAAAGTTAATACCATTTTCACTTCGAATATTATCGTAGACTTTGAACAATCTTCAATGATTTAAGCAAAGCTTTTCTGTAGAAGAGCGAACACAGGTTAAGTTACCAAAATTTCAAGACTAGTATCTTAAGACTATTCCATAGTTATAGACTCTGTTTCTTCATATATAAAGTAAGGGATAATAGGATCTCTGGGATTTATTTGAGTCCTTAAATTATATAATTCTATGATTTCATATTTATAACATAGCAAAATAGGCTTATATCTAAACATAAGTCAATCTGTTTATATAGCTGTATAAGTCACTGGCTAAAGTGGAAACCATAAGGCTTCAAGGGTTAAAGTAATAAAGCAGTCCAGGCCTAGCCTCTACAGCTTAATCCCTTTTTAGGCCACACTTTTTGATCCTGATTTAATGTTACATTTATTGTGTAATATATTAATAGGAATATTAGTTATATTCTAATTTCCCTGAGACAGTCTAGGCTTACACTTACTGTATTACTAGAATTTTAGTTTTGAAAAACAGTTTTTGAATAGGATGATTTTATAGGCTTATTAACATGGCAAACTTCTCTGTTGGCCAATAAACACATATTTCAAAACATATGTAATTTTAATTCTTTTTGGTGCCCCGTTTGCCTCTTAAGTATTCATATTTGGATGATAAGTAGATGATTACCCCATATAAGGCCTCTGAGCAGAGATCAGCAAAGTCAAGAACTGTCTGACTATTACAAGGAGCAGAAGATAAAGCAGAATTTGATATGACTGATGAAACATCAGAGGACCTTGTCTATAGGTGAATCACCTTGATTTCTATATAGATAATAAAAATCAAGTCTGCTGCTCATCAATGCAGGTGGGGGTGAGATTCCAGAGGAAATATGTGTTGGAGAACAAGGACTCCTAATTCTGAGTCCATATAATGTTGTTTCAGAGAAGGTTAAACTAATAATTACATTGGAACTTGACATGTGTCTAAGGATGTAATCAGTTCTGAGAAGAGATGTAGTTATGTTACTACACATGACCTTATTCAGGCAGACTGTAATTGTAAGTCTGTCTTACTTTAATAGAACTAACTGTACTTTATTTAAATAAAGATGAGATTTCTTTTGAAACTGCATGACCTGAGATTAAATCATGTCAGTAAAAACTGTACTGTCACTTACCTTTAGCTAGCATGTATGAAGATGTTTGGTTTGAAGGATGTTTAATAAGGAAAGGCCAACTGGATGATTTATATGAAGAAATGACATTTAGGATGAATTCTGGATGTTTCTCCAAATAATTCATCATTTAGAAGAAAATAAGGAAAGCTGAATTCTCTGTAATGGATATATAAAATTTAAGCAAAGGTGACAGTGATTTAGAAAGTAATTTTCAAGAAGCAAGTGAATTAATGAGTTGTACTGAATGAGTTGTACAGTGTTAGGTTTACAGCCCAATTCAAAGTTTGAATCTTTAAAAAAAGTGTTTAATTTCAAAAAGTCCCATAAAAAAACAAACACATTATCTTTTCTTCTGCTTTCTAAAATTTTCCCATATCATGGCATAACCATAATATTCACATGGCGCAGTGGGGCTAACAAAGGAGCCTGTGCACACTGAAGGTGATGTGAAAAGATGTTCTGAATTCTCCCTTGTTGTTTTTAATATGGTTACTAAGATAACAAAGTCATTTATTCACTAGGGAGTAGGGGAAAAAATAAATAATACTTTAGACTGCCAATACAAATATATATACTCCAGTTCTGTAGGAAACTGTCAGTTAAACATTTGATGCAAGAAGAACTAAATCTTTTTTTTTTTTTTTTTTTTTTTGAGACGGAATCTTGCTCTGTCACCAGGCTGGAGTGCAGTGGCGTGATCTCGGCTCACTGCAATCTCTGCCTCCTGGTTTCAAGCTATTCTCCTGCCTCAGCCTCCCGAGTAGCTGGGACTACAGGCGCATACCACCACACTTGGCTAATTTTTTGTATTTTAGTAGAGACAGGGTTTCACCATGTTGGCCGGGATGGTCTCAATCTCCTGACCTCATGATCCGCCCACCTCAGCCTCCCAAAGTGCTGGGATTACAGAGGTGAGCCACTGCACCTGACCAAGAACTAAATCTTAACAAGGAATTCAGACTTTTATATTCTCAAAAATCAGATGTTGGTCAGTTCCCCCCAAAACTAGAAATAAGTCCACAGAATTTTGATCCATTAATTAGATGGGATTTATCAGTTGCTTTTTTGATATCCTCTACAAAGGGATGGAATGATAGCTGTTAGATAAAGCTGCAAAAACTCACCTGTTAAAAAATTAGAACCTGTCTCTAGCCTCAGATTCCCAGTCCAGACACCTAAAATAGGTGCCACACTACTTGTTAATAAGTAATGTTACAATAATATTGTCTGTTCTAATTAATATATGTTTTCTCTGTTATACTTCTTTATATGTATACATGTATGCATACACATATTTGTGGATATATATAATATATATAATATAGTTATATAAAAGCTCCAGTCACCAAGATATTTCTATAAAAGGACTTCACTATAGATTATCACAAAGCCTCAAGTTTCAGATGATTATATTCCATTAGATTAATTAGAAAAACAGAATGAATGATGACATGAGCAATTTTACCCCAACGGGCATCTGAAATTCAAATACTATGAGATATTGAAGGATGAACTTAGAAATGCTTTTTATCTCAAATGCTTCATGAGTGAAAGTAAAGCCACTATTAAATACCACAAGTCCCATTTGATGAAGAAAATACTTTACTGAGATAATGCATAGATTATATGATACTTTTTAAAGGAATAAAACCTATCAAAGACAAAGGTATAGAGAGAATGCCACAGAACTTGTTAGTGGTTAGTAAAGGGAGAAAATAAATATTAAGACGTTAGGGGCAGTTACTCTGAAGGCTTTATACCTCTGGAAAGAAACCTGACTCATTATAGAACAAAATAACAACACAAAACTACCATCTTTTAAAATGATATTTTTTCCCAGGAAACAAAAACTCTTAGAGATGTGTTTTATCTTCACCATCTCATGAAGGAAGCAATGGAGAAGAAAAAAGTAGGAGTCTAATTAAAGAACTTTCTTCTTAGACATTCTCTTTTCAGGCCTAAGGGTATACCAGAATCTTATTGGTACATCCCAAGAAGTGTGAGGATCTAGGTCCCCCAAATTTTCTCTGATGAACCACCACCAACTGTTGCTTATCTCCTGAAGTGAGAAGACTCTTAGCAGGGGAGGAAGTGAGGGGCCTTGGTATCTAAGTATAGAGAGGCCGCTTCTCACACTCCTGTATTTCAAAGAGAAGAGTAAGTCCAACAAACAGCAGCCACTGTAGTTGCTAATCAGAGAGTGGTATTCAACATGGAAGGACAAAGCTGATGCCATATTTTTAATGACTTATGCACAGGGATAAAAACACTGAATAGAGTTGAAAGAAACAGCACCAATTATGAATATTATTTATGTTAATTCTTTGGGTATAATTTTCCTCTTTGCCACTTTTAAGTCTATAGTGATTTCAGGATAAATTGGAGTCAAACTATAGGTCTAGAGGCCAACGATTTATTACAGTAACAAAGAGCATGTTGAAGCATGATATTGAAGTTGTATCGGATGCCCTCCTAAAGTCCTTTGATTCTGTATTTTAATTCTATTGAAGTGCAATTTCTGGGAAAGATACAAAGAATTTTTGTGTGTGACCTCAAATCATTATTTTATAGTTAAGTGTAGCATAAATCCAGGAAACACACTCTTACATATGGGGGTTATCATGTATAAATGTGTTTGAAAATAATTGTACTGTTCTTGTCAGTAGAAATTTATAAAGCAATCTGTTATAAACTAAATCATACCTCTTTCCAAGCCATCCTTCTGAAATCAGCTGACAAAAGAAGTTAAAGCCTAATTTCCCAAGATTCTTTGTCTTTTGACATGGTACCATCTCCTATCTCTGATTGTATTAGAGACTTTTGGAAAACAGGCTGCGAAGTTATTACCGTGTGATTTTGGTACATGTACTAATATCTGTATTATCCATTTTATTTTAACATCCAGTGAATTTCAGATAATTTCTTCAGATTGGCCTTTTGAAATGGGTCCTAAGTAAAACCTTAATTTTCAAAATTATCTATTATAGATATACTACAAAACAGAAAGAAATAAAATGGGCTTTACTTAGTATACGTAAGGAGAATTTTTGTTCTCTCAATCTATCTGTTTTTAGAAGTAACATGTGTGGGGCCGGGTACAATGGCTCACACCTGTAATCTCAGCACTTTGGATGGCCAAAGTAGGAGGATCACTTGAACCCAGGAGTTCGAGACCAGCTTGGGGAACCTAGTAAGACCCTGTCTCTACAAAAAATAAAACATTACCTGGGTGTGGTGGTACATACCTGTAATCCTAGCTACTAGGGAGGCTGAGGTGAAAGGATGGCTTGAGCCCAGGAGTTTGAGGTCACAGTGAGCCATGATCACATAACTGCATTCCAGCCTGGGCCCCAGAGCAAGACTGTCTCTTAAAAAAAAAAGTAACATGTTTGGGCTATTAAGCTAGGCCATGAAGAAGGCTGAATGATATCCTCCATTTATTCAATTGTCAAACTTCAAAATTTTTATTAGCTTATCAAAGCTAAATTCTAAGAAAGTGCATATGTATAAATTATATATGTGTTTATATATGTATATAAATGTATAAATGTGTATGCATATAATCTATATAGCTGTGGAAGAAACAAACTTGGGTATCAATTATTATCAAAATTCCTTATCCAATAATACATCATTAATTTTTATTAACAGTCCAGGATTTGTTTAGCATCTTGTTTAACATTTGAAAATCAAAACATAAACTTTTTGGTTCTCAAGGATAGTGCTATTAAAAGAAAATCTCGAACATCAGTGGTTAGTAATTTTTTACTTACAGAACAAAAACTTTTGAAATTTCATTGTGGGACTTAATCTATTTACATTCCTAAAACTGAGAATAATTAATGTACTTGAGATCCTTGTATGCTAGTATACATTCATAAGGTTCTACTGTTCTCATGAAACCATTTGATGGCAAACATATTCATTACGGTTTCAAAAGAAAACACCCTATTTGACTCACCAGAAAAACCTTTGTGATCTATATCCTATTATTTCTTCTTCTGCTGCTGAGCATGAAATACATTTGGGGTTGAAACAGGAGAGGAAAGAGATAGATTTATTAGGGGAATATCAACTTTTATGGCTCCCCTGCCCCCTCCACCTAAAATTAGGAGGTCAGTGAAAGAACTGCAAATGAATGTAAAGAGGAATATTTCCTGTACTACTGTAGAAATTTTAGAGATTAAAAACCCCTATGATTTGTTCTGTACCTTTTGAACAATGAATGACTCCCCCTCCCATCTATTTTCCAATTTTTACTATAAAATTTTATTTAGAATCAGGATCTAAATTTTCCTTTGGTGTAAAAAATAGTTTTGCATTTTATGAAAACAATTGTCCTTTTAAAAATTAATCACATATATAATTGAATATATTGGTTGCATATAAGAAGAAAAGGTTTAAGGATTAAAGCATTCAAAGAACATTAATTTGGTGGAATTTCAGTCAATGTTATGGGATCATGTCAGAGATGAACCCTTCTTTTATCAAAATTCCAAAGGTGGATCCATATTTTATAAAATTTGATACCAAATAAGTTATGTTATAGGAATATTTCAATGTTGTCTCAAACATTGAAGAAAAAATTTAATATGGTCAAATTATATGAAAAGGCAAGAATATTGATCATGTTGATGGTATTTCTAATATTTGGAAAATGTTATAAAAAAAAGAAGTATAAATACTATTCAGATTCTGAAAACCATGGCAGACGCAAAATTAAATAAGGAGTAACAGTAACAAATGAATGAAAAATTAGACAAAAGCATATTAAATGACAAAACAGCAAAGCAAAAATAGAATTAAGTCATTAAGATTAAATAGTATACTGTTGTAAAATATATGAAAGTATTAAAAGTATTATAATTAAAAATGATTCTTATCCTAAATATGAAAATAAATATCAAATAATATGAAACATAACATCTAATAGTTTGTTAAGAAAAAATAACACAAAGCAGAGAAAATAAAAGACACCTCACTATTCCCAATGTGGTTATTATTTATGGAATGGATAAAACATGTTGTAGAAAAGGTCATTACAGTTAGATTAGCACATAAAAAACCAACATGCCACATCTACCTAAATAATTTTGTAGAACAGCTGAAAAAGCAAATTTCATCAAATTTAGACAGTTTATAGTGGAATAACTGAGTATGGTGAGGTATTAACTAACACTAAGTTTCACAACGCGCAGCTTCTAGCTGGTTCGTTGAAGCTGGATCTCGGCCACACAAGGATCATTGGACAAGAAATCAGTTGAGCTGGACTAGAGCTGCCCAATTGTCTTAATAATGAATGCTCCACACTGTCTGTTAAGTAAAGAGAAAATATAGATCAGGAAGACTGAATGGAAAAAAACACACACACACACACACACAAGTTAGAACAGATGAGTGCAGACCATCAATCAACATTCACTAAATATTTGCAGAACCTTGGTACAAATTAAATTAGAATGTTACAAAGTGAGGGGCTAGCAATTAGGAGGGCTCCAGAACTCAGGAAAAGCTTGTCCCTGCTCTGTGAGAGCTTAGAATCTGTATTTGACAATCTCTAGTCTAGTGTTACAGTATAAATGTTTAGTAAATAAAATGAGGGATGGGTCAGCACAGATTACGAGTTACAACATTTCCTTCTATTAGGTGTGTCTTAAAAACTTGTTTTTAAAAGGGGAATAGTGTTTTTTGCAGGAGGTTATTTAGAAAGCTGCCCCAAACCCTGGCAGGGCGCAGTGGCTCACGCCTGTAATCCCAGCACTTTGGGAGGCCAAGGCGGGTGGATCACGAGGTCAGGAGATCAAGACCATCCTGGCTAATGCAGTGAAAACCCGTTTCTACTAAAAATACAAAAAAAATTAGCCGGGCGTGGTGGCGGGCGCCTGTAGTCCCAGCTACTCAGGAGGCTGAGGCAGGAGAATGGCATGAACCCGGGAGGCAGAGCTTGCAGTGAGCCGAGATTGTGCCACTGCACTCCAGCCTGGGTGACAGAGCAAGACTCCGTCTCAAAAAAAAAAAAAAAAAAAAGAAAGTTGTCCAAAACCCAAAAGTATCCTTTAAGTGGGCATAAGTAGGACAGGCATACAGGTACTTATGCTGTGTAATTCAGAAGAATTCCATATACCTGTGTCATCCTGGGATTTTTTTTTTGTTGTTGTTAATACTAGTTTGGGTCAAAGAATCAACCTAGTTACTACTACCTTTTTGGCAATTTGGGCCTAGGCCAGCTTCTAATTTAGGGAATCATGCTGTCCTAAGACATATTTTAAATTTTGAATAGGCTCAAAAATTTCCATATTTGTTCCACTATCTCTAGAGCAGCGCTGTCCAATAGAATGGCCCACGTTGATGGGAATGTTTTACGATTACACTATTAAGTATGGTGGCCACTAGTTCCATGTGGCTGTTTAGCACTTGAAATGTGGTTAGTTGCAACTCAGGAACTGAATTTTTAATTTAATTTAAATTAATTTAAAATTGAAATTCAATAGCCTCATGTGGCTAGTGGGTACCATATTGGAGACAGCATGGCTCTAGTGGCTCAAATTTGTTGGGTTTGCTAAAACCAAACTCTACAGACTGGCCTAGATTTCCCTGGCCTGTTTAATACCGTCCAGTACCATTTACTAATGTTCGTAACTGTATTCCCAGTGTCTAGAATAATGGCAAGCACAAGGTAGGTGCTCAGTAAGCATTTGTTGAATGACTAGATCTACTATGATAATACACAGCCATTCATACGTAGTTAACTACTTAGAGGTTATTGGCTGTAACCTGGTATATACTGGTCCTCTCAGGAGAAAATAGAGATACATGCAGTCAAACCGTTTTATGTATGTGAAATTACTTGGTTAAAGCCTCAATGTGCTAGAGAGAACAAGGAGCAGTGCTAACTTCAGTATATTCATATATGAATAATTTAGGTTGATAAATATGGGAAAATGAGAGAACATGTCTCACTCTGTCACCCAGGCTGGAGTGCAGTGGCATGATCTCAGCTCACTGCAACCTCCGCCTCCTGGGCTCAAGCAATTCTCCTGTCTCAGCCTTGTGAGTAGCTGGGACTACAGGTGCATGCCACCATGCCTGGCTAATTTTTGAATTTTTAGTAGAGATGGGGTTTCACTGTGTTGCTCAGGTTAGTATCGAACTCCTGACCTCAGGTGATCCACCCACCTAGGCCTCCCAAAGTGCTGGGATTACAGGCATGAGCCACTGCTCCCGGCCAGAGAATGTAATATTTAATGGTAAGAGTGTCACTAAAAGTTGATAAGAGTGATAACAGGGGAAAAATTAATGTCAGATAAAAAACTAAATTCAGATTTTATGCATGACTAAAAGATGGAAAGTGAAGATGTAGAAGTCTTGAAGAAATATATAGTAATCCCGGGCTGGGCGCCGTGGCTCATGACTGTAATCCCAGCAATTTGGGAGGTCGAGGTGGGTGGATCACCTGAGGTTAGGAGTTCGAGACTAGCCCGGCCAATATGGTGAAACCCTGTCTCTACTAAAAATACAAAAATTAGCTGGGCATGGTGGCATGCGCCTGCAGTCCCAACTACTTAGGAGGCGAAGGCAGGAGAATCACTCGAACCTGGGAGGCAGAGCTTGCAGTGAGTCAAGATCGCTCCACTGCACTCCAGCCTAGGCGACAGTGTGAGACTCTGTCTCAAAAAAAACAAAAGAAAATAAATATATAGTATTCTCATTAGGCAGTAATAGAGCTTTGAAAAGGGTTTTGGCAGTGGAGAGAGAAATTAATACAGCTGATCCTTGAACAACATGGGTTTGAACTGCATGGGTGCACTTAATAAATATGTGTGAAGGTTTTTTTTTTTTTTTTTTTTGTCTGAGACAGTATCTCACTCTTTTGCCCAGGCTGGAGTGCAGTGGCATGATCTCAGCTCACTGCAACCTCTGCCTCCTGGGCTCAAGCGATTATCATGCCTCAGCCACCTGAGTAGTTGGGATTACAGTCATGTACAACCATTCCTGGCTAATTTTTGTATTTTTAGTAGAGACAGGGTTTTGCCATGTTGGCCAGGATGGTCTTGAACTCCTGGCCTCAAGTGATTCCCCTGCCTTGGCCTCCCAAAGTGCTGGAATTACAGGCATGAGCCACTGCGCCTGGTCACTTACATGTGAAGTTTTTTCAGTAAATATATCAGAAAATTCTTTGGAGATTTGCAACAATTTGAAAAAACTCACAGATGAGCTTTACTGCCCAGAAATATTGAAAAAGTTAATAAGGCACTTTTAAAGTTAGGCATGTCATGAGTGCATAAAATATATGTAGGGTCATTCTATCATTTACTACCATAAAATATACACAAATATTTAATAAAAAGTTGAAATTTATCAAAACTTCTACACACAGACACAGACATGGTGCCATTTGCGGTTGAGAGAAATGTAAACAAATGTAAAGATGCAGCACTATATCATAACTTCATAAAATTTACTGTAGTACATACTGTACTACTGTAAAAATTTCACAGCCATTTCCTGTTCTGTTGCAGTAAGCTCAAATGGTGAGCTCAAGTGTTGTGTCTGCCCAAAATACCGTGTGATGACAATCATCTCTGTGTGAGCAGTTCACCTCTCCAGTAAATAGCATGTCAAAGTAAAATTTAATCTCTCTCACTTTTCGCATATTTCTCGTGTTTAGTGCAATACTGTAAACCTTGAATAACACCATAGAACCCTTATGAAATGCCACTAGTGATGCAGGAAGTGCTCCCAAGAAGCAAAGTCATGACAATACAAGAAAAAGTTGAATTGCTTGATATATACTGCAGATTGAGATCTGCAGCTGAGGGTGCCCACCATTTCAAGACAAATGAATCCAGTGTTAAGGACCACGGCAAAAAAAAAAAAAAAAAAAAAAAAAGGAAATTCATGAAGGCATTGCTGCAAGTATGCCAGTAGGCACAAACACCTTGCACTTTTTGCAAAATAATACCTTTTGATCTTGTATTGAAAAATGCAGATTTTATGTGGATGTGGGATTGCTATGGTAAGAAAGGCATACCTATAGACTCTAATATGATTCGAGAAAAAGCAAAGTCATTATATGATAACTTAAAGCAAAAGGAAGGTGAAGGATCTAAAGCTGGATAATGTAATGCCTCTAAAAGGTGGTTTGATAATTTTAGAAAGAGGTTTGGCTTAAAAAATGTCAAGATAACAGGAGAAACAGCTTCCAAAAGGCAGCAGATGAGTTCCAAGATGCCATTACGAAAATCACTGAAGAAAAAGGATATCTGCCTAAATAGGTTTTTAATGCAGGCAGAAGTGCCTTAGTCAAAAAAACAAAAACAAAAACAAAAACAAAAAAAAACACAAACCCACAAAAGACTTTATTAATAAGGAAGAGAAGCAAGCACTAGGATTTAAGGCAGGAAGGGAGAGGCTAACTCTAGTGTTTTGTGCAAATGCAGTCAGGTTTATGATCAGTACTGCCCTTATCCATAAAGCTGCTAATAACTGAGTCTTGAAGGGAAAACATAAACACCAGATGCCAGACTTTTGCATTGAAGGCATCAAAGTGATCTACTTGTCCCTAAGCACAATGCCTCTAATTCAACCACAGAGGGTCATAAGGACCTCTAAGGTGCATTACACATGATATTCTATGGAGAGAATTGTTAATGCTATGCAAGAGAACCCCAAAAGAGAGAACATCATGCAAGTCTGAGGGATTACAGCATTGAAGATGCCATTGTTATAGAAAAAGCTGTGAAAACTATCAAGCCTGAAATAATAAATTCCTACTGGAGAAAACTGTGTCTAGATGTTGTACCTAACTTCACAGGATTTACAACAAAGTCAATCAAGGAAATCATGAAAGAGATTATGGATATGGCAAAAATGGTGGAGGATTGAATGGTTTCAAGATACAGATTTAAGAAAAATTAAAGAGCTAATAGACACTACACCAGAGGAATTTACAAAAGACAACTTGATGGAGATGACTGCTTCTGAACTAGTACCAGACAATGATGAAGAAGACATAGAAGACGCAGTGCCAAATTGACATTAGACAGTCTGGTAGAAGGGTTCTGATCATACAAGACTGTTTTTGACTTCTTTTACAACAATGGACTTAGAAAACTCCCTTAGGAAGACAGTTTAGAGGACAAAGAGAATTGTGCTATAATTAAGGTAGTTGATAAGAGATGAAGAAATATATTTCTTAAAGAGACATTGAAAGATCAAACTGAAGGCAAAGAGAGTCACATCTTAGGAATAATAAAAGTTGAGGACAGGCTAGGTGACAGTATTGAATTAAATAAAATTTAAGGGGGCATGGA